AATAAATAAATAAAAAAAAATTTGTCTTTAAAATTCAAAATTTAAACCATTGAATAGGCGCCTGAGTCATACTAAGCTAATTGGCTTTAGTGGTAATTAAATCTAACCCAAGCTCTGATACCACTTTGTAACACCTCAATAATTCTCTCTTAAAAACCTGTGAGAAACATGTATATAACCTGAACAATTTCAAGATAATTACTGGCGTGTTATCGCCACGTGTTCAAACGTTAAGGCTATCTCAGAAATTACCAGCGGAAAACTAAAACAGTTATAAATAAACTTCAAAACCAAAGGATTAAATTGAAATAAGTGTTACAAGTGGGGACCATTAAGGCCCTTATTCAAAACCCAACAAAAGCAGTAAGTGATTAAATCCAGTGTTCAAATAATTCAAACCAAAAGAAATAGTGTCGAATAAAATCGAATTAGAATAAATTCAAACTTGCAAAAGAAATAAACTGCAAACAACCAACTCTCTACTCAAAATCCCACAACCCTGATGAATGCTGCATGTGTAAGAACGTGGTTAATCTGCTCCCCAATATTACAAGTGTAAAAATTGGATCGTCACATGGTCATTGAAAGGCGAAGGCCATGACCAAAGAAAGACACACACAAAAGCATGCAATCAGCAAAGCTGAGTACATACAAGCTGCGAAATAAATCAAGAAAATACTTAACATGCTGCTAATAATCAAGCTTAAGCATCATTAAATACAGACTCCACACATGACTCAATTATCAAATTTATTAAGACCTCACTAGGTGATATTAACTAACTTATTTATTTATTTCATTGGATTTAGCAATAGACAAGGTTGTCCAACCCATGTCCCATTTGGAACATCAATAAAAGAAAAACCCCATGCCTCCATTTGGAAACATTAATAAACATCCAACGACCACGGTTTCAACTCCGTGACCGTAGTTAGTATGAGATCTCACCTAACTCCTAGTTTTTAAAAAAATATTTGAAATAGGAGACTCGTAGATCAGACGGCCTCGATAAAAGTACACGGCTAATACCCCATGTACCCCAACCCCTGATTGTCATTACTCCATATGTGCACCAATCCAGAGTTTTATTGCTCATCCATCTTGCACTTTACGTGATATATAGGTTTAGACTTGGTGATGACTCATATACATTACAATAAAAACATTCCAAACACAATTCAATCAAACATGGCAAATTCCCAATTTAAATTCTTGATTTATTAGTGACAAACAACATTTATTAATTATTCCTTTACGTACTATCTTGGTGTATAAACACCTTGAGTGCATAAGGCACCCCAAAACCTTAACCTCGTCTTATAAGACTTGAATTCCTCATTTACTCATCCTGTTTGCATAATCATGAATGAGTAATAATTTAATCTTTACACCAATCACATACCTTTGCCTTTAAGCGCACCTCGCATAATTAGAGCACAAATAATACTTGCATTATAAACTAGTGCACATAATTTGAAATTCACAATGTATAACCAAACAATTTAACCCACTCAATCCTATACATGATACTAAGTTCTCGATCCGTCCTTAAACATGCACCTACAAGCAAGGTTTCGTAACTTGTACGTACCTTGTGTAAACAGTAAAGAACATTCTTATCCTCTCTCTCTCTAGTTTGTCTCTCTAGAATTTCTCTGCTATGGCGAGGAAGAAGAAGGGAAATCAGGGCTTGCAAAAGGGGGGCAAGGATGATGCTATCATCAATGGCATTGATTTGAAGAATAGTCTGCTTGCTGGAGGTCAGAAAACTAAATCAAAGGGTGATGTGGGTCGAATTCCGCCATTGGAGTTTGAGGTTGAGTATGAAATTGAGCGTTGCATGTTATCTCCAGAGCAATCGTTGGATGAACTAATCACAAAATCAAGGGAGAAATAAAAGCTATCATAGTGAAGGAATGTATTGCAGAGGTGCGATTCTGGGTTGAAAAACAGAGCATCGACAAATGTTGCTGAGGTATCTTCAATTCACCCTCCTCAATCTGAATTGAATAAACCTGTTTTACAATTGTATATGGATGATATTGTTGATGAACTTGATTACTGGAATTTAGGAGTAGTTTCTTTTACAATTGCTGCTAATCCACATATCAAAACTTTTGAGGGTTTTTGTTATCGAATTTGGGGGAAATTGAATGTTGATAAAGTAATTCCTTTAAAGAGGGGTATATTTCTTATTAGATTCCTTAATTTGGAAACTAGAGATAAGGCTCTTACTGCTTTGAATTTGCTCATGGATAATAAACCAGTTTGTCTTAGACAATGGGAAGATGGGATGGAATTGGAATTGAATGATGCTAAAATTCCTGTTTGGGTGCAAATTCTGGGACTGCCATTGAAGTATTGGGGGAAGAGTTGCCTGGAAAAGATTGTGGGTCTAATTGGTAAACCTATTAGGCCTGATGCTGCCACTTTATCGCGAGATAGAGTAGCTTATGTTAGGTATCTTGTAGAGATGGACCTGAAACAGGAATTCCCAAATAAGATTGATTTTCTTGATGAGAAGGGTATTTTGTTTGAGCAAAATCTTACTTGGGAATGGAAGCCTCAATGGTGTTCTGTGTGTGGGGGTATGGGACATGCTGATGGGTCATGCCAAAAGAAAATTGAGAAAATGGTGTGGAGACCTAAGTTGGTGAAAGTTATTGATGAACCAAAGCAGCAGCAGAAAGAGGTCCATGAATTGGATGCTTCTGATCCTATTTTTGTTCCAATTGATAATGGGAAGAATTTGAGTCCAATTAGGCAACCTACTTCTCAAAATGATTCTGTTTTACTTCAAAACTTTTTTGATTCTCTGAAGGAGGATACTCTGAAGTCTCAGGTAGTGTTTGGAGATGGTTTGGGGATGGAATGTGATGATCATGAAGGAGCTCCTACCCAGGAGCATGGATAGGGTTATGATATGGAATATTAGGGGTTTAAATAGCCCCTATAAACAAGCAGAGATTAAAGATTATATTGCTATGCATCAAGTGGGTCTCTGCTGTCTTGTTGAAACTAAGGTAAAGCAGGATAACTTTCATATGGTTTATCAAAAGATGTTCACAGGGTGGTGTATTACTTCAAATTTTAATAAGGTGAAAGGGGGTAGAATTTTTTTAGCTTGGATCAGTGAGCTGTTTGATGTGGATATTGTTCATACAAATGCTCAGTTTATTCATACCAGAGTGTTGAATAGGACTCTTAATAAAGATTTTGAATGTACTTTTGTCTATGGAATGAATGATGCAGTTGATAGGAAGGATCTCTGGGAGGGGTTGAAAAGCATTTCTACAGGATGTTCTGGAGCTTGGATGATTTCTGGAGATTTTAACTGTCCTTTATTTCAAGATGATAGATTGGGGAGGCCTATTAGACAGGTAGAAATGTCTCCTTTTAAGGATTGTGTTGATTTTTGTGATTTAAAAGATATGCATCAAATTGGTGCTAGATTTACTTGGACTAACAAACAACTAGGGGATGCAAGAGTTTACAGTAAGATTGATAGAACTTTGGTCAATTCTGACTGGGTTGTTTCTTTTCCTGGCTCTTGTGTGCATTATAATTCTGAGATGTGGTATGATCATTGCCCAGCTATTATTTTCTTTGAAGATCAAGGTGCTCCTGCTCCCAAGGCTTTCAAGTTCTTTGACATGTGTTGTAGTCATTCTCTTTTCTTAGATCTAATCAGAAAAGCTTGGGATACTGATGTTGTTGGGCAGAAAATGTTTCAGGTTGTTAAAAAACTTAAGGAAGCTAAAAAGGTGCTAAAGGGGCTGAATAAATCTGAATACCCTGAGATTGGGGCTAGATTTCTGGAAGCCAAGAATGATGTGCTGGAGATTCAGAATTTGATTCAAACGGATTATTTTAATCCTGATCTGCAAGAGAAAGAGAGATGTAGCCTTGAGAAGTTTTCTAGACTCATGAAGGATTATTTTACTTTTCTTCAGCAGAAGTCTAAAATAAAGTGGCTTAAGATGGGGGATGAAAATACTTCTTTCTTCCATAGGAGTATTAAAATTCAAGCTTATAAAAGAAAGGTGGTGGCAATTGCTGACATGCATGGAGTTTGGTGTGATACCAGGGAGCAGGTTAATAAAGCTTTTGTGGATTATTATAAATGGCTTCTAGGCTCTGAGCAAACTTGTGATACTAAGGTAGAGCAGGATATAGTGAGTAAAGGTCCTTTAGTAACTGATGAGCTTGCTGCCATTCTTAATTGTCCTGTCACTGATGATGAGATAAGGAAAGCAATGTTTGGGATTCCTGGTATCAAGGCTCCTGGTCCTGATGGGTTTAATAGCTCGTTTTATAAAATGGGGTGGGATATTGTTGGTAGTGATGTGTGTACTGCAGTTAAAAATTTCTTTAATACAGGCAAGATGCTAAAGGAAATAAATTGTACTAATCTGGTGCTGATTCCTAAAAGCAATCAGCCTTCCTCGGTTACTGATTTTAGACCAATTGCATGTTGTAATGTGGTCTATAAAGTCATAACTAAGCTGTTGTGTGCTAGACTAAAGAAGGTTTTGCCTAAGATAATCTCTGACAATCAGTCAAGCTTTGTTCAAGGGAGAAGAATATGCCATAATATATGTATTGTTCAGGACCTGATTGGAAGATATAAAAGGAAAAGCGTGCCTGCTGGTTGCATGTTTAAAGTGGATATTAGGAAGGCTTATGATTCTGTTAATTGGGATTTTCTAAAGGATATGTTGCTGGCTCTTAGATTTCCTTCTCAATTTATTCACATGGTGATGGAGTGTGTCTCTACTCCTAGTTTTTCTTTAGTGATCAATGGGGAGGTTCATGGATTTTTTAAGGGGAAGAAAGGGTTGAGATAGGGAGATCCTCTATCTCCTTTGTTATTTGTTATCTGTATGGAATACCTAACTAGGATTCTTTACAGTATTGGAGATCATAGAGATTTCAAGTTTCACCCTAGGTGTAGGGGGGTAAAGTTGAATCACTTAGTGTTTGCTGATGACTTGATAGTCATGAGTAGTGGGGATGAAAAGTCTGCTAGGTTGCTTATGAGGGGGCTTGCTACTTTTTCTGCTGCATCTGGATTAGTTGCTAATAATGGAAAGTCCAATGTCTATTTTTGCAACACCAGTGAGGATGTAAAGGTTAACATCATCAGACATTCTGGCTTTAAGGAAGGTGATTTGCCTTTCAGATATCTTGGTGTGAATGTGAATGCTAAGAAGCTGTCTAATGATGACTGTCAGATTCTTATAGATAAAATTGTTGCTAGAATCAGGCTTTGGGGTGGTAGGACAATGTCATACTGCTAGAGTCACTCTAGCAAATTCTGTGCTTCTTTCCTTGCATACTTATTGGGCAATGCTGTTTATTTTGCCTAGAAAAGTCTTGGAAGGGGTTATGGCTGTCTACAGGAACTATATTTGGGATGGTAAAGTTGTTTATAGCAGGGCTCCCCCTATTTCTTGGGATATTATCTGCAGGTCAAAGAGGGAGGGTGGTCTGGGAGTGCAGGATTGCATTACTTGGAATATTGCTGCCATGGGAAAATATGTTTGGGACATAGCAAATAAGAATGATAGTCTCTGGCTCAGGTGGGTGAATCACCATTATATCAAGGGCAGGAATTAGAAATAAATCCTTGTGTAAACAATCCGGTTGGCCACTTTAAAACTAGAAGTCGCCTTCTACAAAGTCCTCTCATAAACCAAACAATTAGAAATAAATCAATACCAAAGCAAATAAATTTACAGCAATACTAAATTACTTTAAAACCTCTTAAATCATCAAAATAAAGCCTTTAAATTGTCCCAAATAGTCAAAGTTACTAATATAACATCTCAACTATAAGTTTATATGTTAGAATTATGAAAATATAGTGTTTAATATCAAATTACAGCAACTTTAAAGTAAGTAAATAAATCTGAAAATTTGGTTTAAGTATATAAAATAACCCCATAAGCATAATTACTTGAAATAATCATTATATATTAAGTTAGTGTGTTAAAAACTCAAAAATATATCAATTCAATGTAATTAGAGGCTTCAAAATAAAAAGTATGAAATCTGAAAATTATTTTTAAAATTAGAATTTAAAGTTCAAAGCTTTTTTAATCATAAAATACCCACAATAATTATTTTGTAGGTTTAGAAGCATAAAAACATGAAACTAACATAACTTGCTCATAAAAATTGAAACTTTAATAATTTGAAAATTTAAATATGATCAAAATAATTATACTTTAACAAAATTTAAACATAGTATAATTAGATAACTTAATTATCACGTTTTCAAACCTTAAAACATGAAAAATCAATGTTTAAACCCTAAATTATACAACATATATAATCTTAAATTTTAAATAATGATTTAAACATGCTAACACTCATAAATTTATAATCTTTTATAAATTAAACATACTATCAAATCCTAGTAACAATAATTTATAATTGAAATCAAACAAAAATTGAAGCTTTTCATCAAAATAACAAAAAATAACGGAAGAGAAAACAAGAGGAAGGAGAAGAGAGGAGGGGCGAACTGGGCTGCTGATGGTGGCGGTGCAGGGGCGGCGCGATGTGGCAGTGCAGTCTTCACGGCTGGGCAACCTCGAAGCTTCACCCTTTTTTTTTCTTGGTTTGTTGTGTGCGTGAAGGAGGAGAAGAAAGTGAGGGTTTTTTTTTTTTTTGTGATTTCACGTAAAAAGGAGAGGGAGAATAGGAGAGGGTTTTATTTTGGGTTTTACTCTCCTAATTTTATTAGGAGTGGACTTTGGGCCAAATATATTTAAGAAAAGAAGTTGTAAATAGACTAAACTTAATAGTTTAGTAAAATTTTATTATTTTCCTCAAAATAATTCATACTTAGAGAATCAAAAATAGTTTGTATAAATAATAAACTAATACATTATAATTATGTTGAAAATATGGGGGATTACACCTATAGGACGAATAGCACCACCGGACACTTTCCAGCCAAACAGAGATTAACCACCCCAGAAATAGAGTCTACTAACTCATATAATACAGCCACAATAGCATCATTCAAGCAATCCATAAGGTGTTGTGCACGTAAATCGTCCCTACCACATAATGTTGCTCGAGGAAAACTCTTAATCCGATCTAAAACAACAACAGAATTAGTAACGAGATGAAGGCCATCAACCGATATATCAAGAAAGGATGGAGCTGGAGAAGTAGGGTGTTTAGACTGTAAATCTACGAGAGTGGCTTCATTATAAGGAGCAACACCTGAAGAAGAAAGAACCCGGACTGCAACAGTGCAATAGCCATCACAAATCTTCCTACGACATTGCTTGATATTGCGCTCCTCCAAATGAAGGTCCTCATCACCCACCATTGATAATAAAGTAGGAGAATCCTCTGGCAAAATACCCCTCACAAGCTGCAAATTACCACCTAGTGCACTTTAAGAACAAATAGCATGGGAAATACTCTCTTCTTCATGTCGGCGCCTTACCAAAGACATAGACTCAGAGCTGCTCTACGGGCGAAAGGTTTTAAGGGTGCAAAGAGGTAACACCAACAAAGAGACCCAATTAGAAAATACCATCATGCCTAGAGATCACCTTATCAAGAGCACCTTTCAGAACCCGAGAAAACCCCAAACGACACTTGCATGGGAGGTATATACTTCATCAGTACGAAACCCCTTGGAGAACAAACAATCAAGAAGAGCCACATCAAAACCACAATGTTGATCTTGCACCAAACCACCCATGCGCCCAAGCTGAGCCGGAGAAGAGGGAGCTAGCGTCTTGGAGAAACCATGAAGCATAAAACGAACAATACCATCACCTTCATCCGGGGGTGACACAAACTCACTCGCACTATGACGACACTTAGTACGCTGCGTATGCATGCGTTCTGAAGAAAACCCCACATAACCTAATCCCCATACGCGAAAAAGTAACTTCGTCCTCATTATTATTATTATTATTATTATTATTATTATTATAGTGATTGAGAAAATACATTGGTAAATATAAAATGAAATATATTGCAACTAATAAAACTAGAGGAAGTATATACCTAGAAAATATTGTCTCAAATAAACTCCAAGTTTGTAGCACACACCTAAGATGAAAACTTCAAGTCGATGACTACATTATGGTCCATATAATAATTTTCATGTGACTTTATATATAAATTTATTTTTATTTTAGTACATCTATTTAATCACATTTTATTTACAAGATCGGACCTCTTATCTTAAGTGGTGGGGCATCTCTATTTCCCTAAGTTTCCTAGAGAAAAATTATTGAATGCATAATTACTCCAAAACTGATAGTGGATACATCAACACCATAATATGTGGTGTAAATATTTCTGTAGAGTTCTGGGGTTGCAAATCAATTTTGCAATATTCACCAATAAATACATAATAATGTTCGACATTGTTGGTCCACGTTACTAAAGTATAATAGTGAATTTACGATGATCAATAAGGTTGACTTTTAAGTAAGAAAAAAAAATGTGTATATTGTATGTTTTTGCTAATTATACTACTCCATAACCTATAATCAAAGCTTGATTTCAAACTTGTAATTCACTCAAAATATAATATTCCTGTCTCTTAATTTAATGATGCTTCAATTTAAACATTATCCATACATATTTTTAACAAGCATTTTGTTAAATACAGTCGATTTAAGGTGATCGATCGAAGTGATATAACAAAATATTATTAATAAATAGACAAATTAATGGAACCACATGCTTATAAAGTAGATGAAACATTCACTTTAAGATATCCAAAAAGGGAGAATAATGGAGCATACAACACACTAGGACAGATTGAATATTGATGCATGTATATATAGAGATTTCAAATTTGCCCAATATGCCTTGGATTTGAACTATAAAGGATAAATGTAGGTAATGCGCTTGTTAAATACTCCCTCCGTCCCTTAATTAGATTCTTATTTTTAGCATTTATTCAATTATTTTTCACACAATAGAGAGAAGTAAGAATCTAAAAGGGATGGAGGGAGTACTTCTTTCATATAGTTTTCCTTGAAATTTAGGTGCTCAATTTCAAGGCACACATGTCTAGAAGGTGATTAGAGAAGGTAATCGAACAACATTATCAAAATAATTATTGAAATATCTAGAATATGGATGGGCATAATATGTGTATATTTATTAAATTATTTAATTTACTGATTTTGTTTATTTGCATTATGAAATATATTCCTCATGGTGCGTTATAAAATTTTGTTACAATTTAAAGAAAACAAAGGAGGTAAGTTAGTTAGATAGATAAAGACGCGTAAAATAATTTTAATACTCTTCAATTATTGGTATTTTTAGATTGAAAATTATTGCATATATTTGCGGTATTATTGTTTTAAATACTCCTATTGATGTAACAATTTAGTAATACATTCTTCTACAATTATGTTTTGCTACGTTGTTAAAAGACAACATAAGCGCCCATAATTTGTTCAACCTTTTTTAAAAGAAAATTGTATTAATGTCATTTTTTTATACTCTATTTTATGGTATGTACTCCTATCTTATCAAAGAAAGTCATTTTGGATCATCAACATTCAACAATTATAATACTTACGCGTTCCCGCCATTTTTTCAACAAATATTTTATTTTATTGGCATCTCATACAGATAAAAACTAATGAATTATTATATTGATAATGGACAAAAGTATAGTACACATTAGCATTTTAATTAAAGCGACATTTATATTAGAGAAATATGATTAAATAGATAAATTATTTAAAAATTAAAGGGTTACATTACATTAGTCATTACTTTGTACGTAAAAATCTCAATCATCATCTAATCAATTCAAATGGGATAATTCCAAACATCAAATTTAATTATTTAAACAATAAGAATGTAATTCCCTTCACTCAAATTTTATGGCCAATAAGAAATTCCCACTAAGATTTGGTAACGTATAATCTCCAAAACTATGAGAAGTTCTAGAAAACTCCAAAACTAGAAGCAGCAAAGAAAATTGACTTGTGCTTTTAGCAGAGACTGGTTTAAGTGGTCCAATGATGAAGTTGAAGAACTAGAATCCAAATGAGTTTTGCATTGGTCCAAGTGGCACTGTAATATCCATGAAAGTAGTTCCAAACTTCCAACAGGGACAAATATTAATTTTTAGTTTTATATAAAATCAAATTTAAATCCCAATGTTTATGAAAGAAATTGAATTGCTAGTTTTAGGGGAATACAAATGATAAAATAATCCAACTACAAAATTTGGGATTTGATAAAATGCTGATATAGCTAAAAAATTTAGTATTCCATATGACACAACGCACATAATCTCTAGGGTACTTTCTAATTTCTCAAATATGAAATGTATGTTGTGTTTTTTTTTCTACTCCTTTCGTTTTTTAATTGTGTCTATTTTTTCTTAAAAGGAGTCCTTACACTTTAATAGGACAAAAAAAATAATCTCCTCTTATCTCCCTTTTCTTTTATGTTGAAAATGCGCCCACACATGGTTATTACCAATAGTAGTTTAGGTCATAACATAAGCCACAAACAAAGTCGCAAAAAATTAATTACATGTTTATGGATCAGACTGAGATGAAAAGAAAAAACTAATGAACGTCTTCTTCGATTACATTGTCGGC